GAGCACCCTCGGCCCGGGGCCGGCTCCACGCGCTCTTGGCCGCGGGGTCCCGCCTCCGGGCAGTCCCTCCCGCCTCGGGACGCCGGCCCGGCCCGACCGGCGCGCTCGCCCGCGGGGCGACCCCGACCCCGCCCCTTCGCCGAGCCGCCCGCGGCGGAAGCCGGCAAACGGCGCCGACCGCACATGCGCGGAGGGAGGCGCGTGCTGCCGTTCCCAGCATGCTGCGCGACGGCCCAGAGCACGCAAGACTACGTTTCCCGTGAGGTCGCGCGCGCGCGCGCTCGCGGGGCTGATCTTGCTTGGGGGGCGGGGACTGAGAGAGTCGTGCCCTGCGATGGGCAGTCTGTGCTGCTTCCTGGGGCCCAGGTCCCGTCACCGACCCAGAAGTTGTGGGCCAGGCTTTGCCCCACGAAGAAGCCGCCGCACGCGGACCTCAGCCTGGCCCCTGCGGCCGAAAACAAGAGCCGCGATGTTCGGGAGCAACCGGGACATTTGCCTAGGGGCTGATACCAGAAATAGGAAGGTTATTGTGGCAGCACTGGAACCGTGTAGGCGATTTTACTTTTTGAGAGATACATGTTAAGGTGTGTAGGATTCTATTCTATACAAGTCCCCTTAAAAAATAACAATCAGAAAGGGCAAGTATGGTAAAATGTCAAGAATTTCTGCCTCTAGAGAACGGGTATGCTTATTTACGATTTTCTACTGTTTTATATGTTTGAAATTTTTGCAGTATAAAATTTATAAGGGAGAAATTTGGACTGCCATTTTACAAATGCCTTTTAACTCAAAGCTGCCAATATTTTGTGTAGAACTGGTATGATTTCTCCAGTAAATGCCTAGCAGAATTCACCAGTGAAACCACTTGGGTCTGGAGTTTTCTTTTAGTAAGGGTTTTAACTACACATCAGTTTAGTTGATACAGAACTATATGGATTATTTATTTAAATGAGTTTTGGTAATTTGTGTTTTTCAAGAAATTGGCTCATTTTACCTTAGTTATTAAATGGGTGGGCATGAAGTTGCTAATAGTATTTCCTTATCATCCTTTTAATGTCAGTAAAAGTTAGTAGGGATGTCCTTTCTTTCGTTCTTGATATTGCTAATTTGTCTCATCTCTTGCTAGCAGTATGCCAAATTAGCTTTTTTATTTTATTGATTCCTCTATTGCTTTTCTACTTCCTCCCTTCCTTACTTTTTCTTTTTTAGAGATGGGATCTTCTTGTGTTGGCCAGGCTGGTGTCAAACTTCTGTCCTCAAACGATTCTCCTGCTGTGGCCTCCCAAAGTGCTGGGATTACAGGTGTGAGCCACCATGCCTGGCATTCTGTTTTCAATTTTATAATTTATATTCTAATTTTTATTATTTTCTTGTTTCTTCTTGCTCTGAATTCAACTTGCTTTTCTTTCTCTAGGTTCATAAGGTGGAAGCTTTTCTAAAATAAGCATTTAATGCTTCAGTAGCTCCATATGCACTGTTACCTGCATCTCAGACATACTATGTTCAGTTTTCATTTTCATTATGTTTATAATACTTTCAAATTTTCCATTTGGGTTTCTTCTTTGACTCAAGGGCTTTTATAGAAGCATGGTGTTTAAATGAAACATATTTGGTGATTTTCCACATGCGTATTTTGAGGTGAGTTCCTTCATGGTACAAGAGAATACTTTGTACCATTTGTATTCTTTTAAATTTGTGTGGGTTTGTCTTATGGCTCAGAATATGATCTTATCATGATGAATGTTCCATTGTACTTGAGAATAGAGTATATCCTGTTGTGGAATAGAGTGTTCTTCAAAGATCAATTAATTTAAATTTATTGATAGTATAATGCAGGTTATCTATATCCTTACTGATTTTCTGCCTATTGGTTTCAGCAATTAATGAGAGAAGAGTAATCTCCAACTCTAAGTGTGAATTTGTCTTTTTCTCCTTTGAGATCAGTTTGTGGCACATTGTATGTGAAACTCTTTGGTTAGGTGCATATACATTTAGGATTGTAATATCTTCTTGGAGAATTAACTCCTTTATCATTATGTAATGCTCCTCTTTATCCCGATAATATTCCTTTTTCTGAAGTTGACTTTGTTTGAAGTTAATGTATCTATTCTAACATTTTGCTTAGTGTTGCATGGCATATCTTTCTCCATTCTTTCCTTAAAGGATACTGGGTATAGCATTCTGGCAAGCACTCTTAACATATTAACCACTGGTGACATAAAGTTCACAGTAAAACCTGTCACCAGGCATGGACCATCCTGCAACTAAAGATACATATTCCATATCTTGCTCAGTAGATCTTCTTGAATACCACAAGAAAGTGAGAGTCAATGAGTTGGTGTCAAGTGTGATAAAAAAAATGAGGTTCTGTAGCTTACAGCAACTGAGAACTCAGAGGGGACCACTCACTACATGGGACGTGTGGGGTTAAGACATTGGTAGATCTAAAGAGATGAACAATATTTGAGGGACAGAGAATGACTGAATAGCGATCACAGTGCTGAGGACCTGTGGGATTGGAATGTACCATAAGACTAATGATATGGAAACAAAGAAGGAGGTATCACACTTCCAGACTTCAAATTTTACTATAAAGCTACAGTAATCAAAACAGACTGGTATTGGTACAAGAACAGGCACATAGACCAATGGAACAGGAGAGATTCTGGGAACAGGATAGATTCCGGAAGCAAAGCCTCAACTTCTCAACCAACTCATCTTTGACAAATCCTCCAACAACCATCACTTGGGAGAGGAGAATCTATTCAGTAAATGGTGCTGGGAAAACTGGCTGACCACATGTAGAAGACTGAAACAGGACCCCTACCTATCACCATACGCAAAAATTAACTCTAAATGGATCAAAGACCTAAATGTAAAATCTCAAACTATAAGAATCTTAGAAAATGCG